AAATAGCATTTGGCCCTTTAGTGCAGTACTGCTGATGCCTAAGATGCTGTGCTCCAAACCATGAGGATCGATTACTTCAATAATCTGTGGGATTGTGTCCTGCTGTACCACAAATCCCATTTGAATAACTCAAATATGTAACCAGCGATATCCTTGCATCTCTCCATTGTGCTGTAGTTCTTGATACACAAAGGCTATCAACTCATCCAAATCAGTGTGTTCTTTTCTTCTGAATAAATCCAGTTCACGACAAAGTCCGGATGCTTATGATAACGTGGTGATTCTGAGCCAAAATCAAAGTATTTCCTTGTTGCTAAATCCAATTGAAAAGTACGATTCAATTAGGTGCTCCATTGTTGGAATAGTGCATGGTAATCTCAATATGCACAGTAATGAGTTTCCTTGACTGAAAGAAAAGCTATTTTCTCACAACAAATTTTCTACACAAACCTGCCACTTTTTTTGATTTGAGACTTTAATGCTGAAATCTTTCTTTTTTTTCTCAATTGTTTTAAAATAAGCTATTTCAAGCTTTTTGTTTGAAGTACAATAACATAAAGAAAACGGAGAAAACCCCAACAATCATATGACCCCCATATGAGTAAGTGTTTTGGTGACAGTTGGAAGGAAAAACTCCCTTTTAGCAGGAAAAAACTTCCAGCCGAACCAGTCTAAGGTAGGGGCAACCATGTGCTAGGACCAGTTGAGGGTGAATGGATGAAGACAGGACAAAGACATGCTGTGGATATCCCCCAGCAGCCTAATGCTATTGCATGTAACTATGGGAGGATTTAGGGTCATCTGATCCAACCCTAACTATATGCTTTATGAAAAAGGAAAGCTTTGAGCCTAATTTTAAATATAGAGAGGGTGTCTGTCTCCAAACTGGAAGCTGGTTCCACAGAAGAGTACCTAAGATAAGCATGTATAATGTTTTTTTGTGTTGTTTTTGTTTTCTTTAATCCTTTCCTGTCTGGCAGCCTATGCAATCAGAATTGTGATCTAAATGCACTGCGATAAGTAGGAATATATTGAAATTACAGAGTGCAAATAGAAATGCGCAATCCCAACTGCTGCTCCTGTAAGAAAAAACAAACATACAGCAAAAATAAACTGGATTTTGTCCACTAGGGTGGACAAGGCTAAGCATCAGGTTTCAAACGAACTGAAGCTCTGTCTAGGCGTTTGGTTAATGAAAAAGCTGGAATGGAAGAAACCCTAGCGGGTGTGTCGCCGAGTGGTGAAAAACAATTAGATTTTTCTGAAACATCATGATTAGTTAATGCATTGTCTCTACTGTTCCCCAACATTCCCCGAACTCACAATGGTACCTAAGAGCTGCCATCTGGTGGTGTGATTAAAAATGGCACACACACACACCTTTAGTGAACATTTAGCAACTCCAACAGTTAGTTTACACATGACCACACTAAGGTTTGTTACGTGGAATATACATGAAGTTGTTTCCAGGGAAAAGAGGCAAAATATTACTAATTAGTTTAATGACTTACTTGGCAGACGTTGAAGAAAGACATGTCTTTCTGCAGGAGACTCACATGTCCAAAACATCTGCACACACACTCACTTCTCCACAGTTCTCTCACACATTCTCAGTCTGTTACGATGCAAAACAAAGAAGTGTAGCCATATTAATTAACATAAAAACAAAACTTCACTGTCAGCAGCTCTAGGTTGTTGAGTGACATGAGATCAAGAGAGACTGAAGTCCCCCCGGCCACCCCTGTCATCACAGTTTGGGCGGGGTGGGGAGGTAAAGGGCTTAACATCCAGGCTTATGTGTTAAAGATGACCAGAGGGCTACAACCGAGCCATTTTCATTTATTATTTTCCATATATGCTAATAATAGATTATCTTTATTCTTTTTCCAAAACATAAATCAAATCCAAGCTTAATACTGAATACCAGAATATTATCAGGTAAACATAATTATGTTTAAGTTTAGATATTGGTGGATCCTATTTAAACAGAGTGATTGGATGTCTAGGGAGGAGAGATGGAGTCAGCACTTGAAAGGGCATAAATTGGAGCACCCAGAGATGTTTTGGGTCTGTTTCCGGCAGTCCTGCGAGATGAGCAGTTCAGAAGATTGGATCCCAGAAGTTCGCCGTTGAAAATTCCCGCAGTGACACCAGAGGGATCAACCACCACTGTCCAGATGGTGGACTTACAAATTAAACTTGGATTTGGCTCTTTCTCTGCTCATCATCACCATCATTGCCATGTTGGATTGTTTCCATTAACACAGAACACTGAGAAACACATCTCCAGGCCTGTATGTGCCTGTCTCTCCTCGAAAGAAAAATAAGCATTAGCTCAGAGTAAGTTAATTAGTAAATGATTCAGGTGAATTGTTTATCATTTTGTGATTATTACTATTTAATTTGGCTTTTGCTTTGCTCCTGCTAAATTGATTTTTTAAAAATATCCTGCAATTAAAGTCTGAATTGTGGACATTCACTTTTTAACCTTTTGTGAAATAGTGAAGTTAGAAATCTGGATGCTAATCATTAATAGTGCAAATAGCTCTTACAAGTTACTACATCCCTTAACATATAACAGTCCCTTGGGGGCCTACTGTTGCTCATTGGTCCAGTGTTCTCTTTTTGTATGACAGTACATTTTTCATTTTATTTACAAATAAACGTCCTCAGACTGGGAGAATATTGCCATGCCAGTGTTTTTTCCACTGTGTTTTAAGCACAAAGTTATCACAGCTGTTCACTGGAAGATTTTAAAGTACTTCATCCTTTCCGACTGTGTGTGCTAACAAGATTTTTGGAGATGCAGATTTGCTTTTCCAGGAGGACTGCACACAGTGCCATAACTATTGCCAAGTAGTTTGCTATGTTCTTACTGTGATTACTGTGTGGCCAGCAACCTTGTCTGACTGAACCTAATGGAGAATGTGTGGGGTATTGTCAAGACAAAATCATCAGTCTTGTTTTGTATATTCAACAATTCCAGACAGAAAAATAACTCTGCTGTTACCTTTTAAACTGCACCTCTTTAAGAAGTGCTCTGTTATAAAAACATTCTATATTGTGATTTCCCCAATAATGTCCCCAACTCGTCCTCTAAATGTTGCAGGAAAAATGTTCTACCACTATTACAATTTCACAATTAAAGAAACATTAAAAAAAATCATCTCAGCCATAAAAAGCATGGTTCTGGGTCTTGGACCTAGCGTTTCTGGACCCTGCCCTGTTGGTCTGTATTGGTTCCAGCTATGAGATTTATTATTAAAATAGACATAACATAATTTTTTCACCCCCTCCCAGAAAACACATGTTCAAAGCAGCATGTCAGACCAATATCAGACAGAAATGTCACATGATATCAAACAGAAGTTGTTAATTCAGCTCGGCAAAGTGGGCAATCATAGTGAAGCAGTTCATTATAAGCTGTCGTTTTAAGTTACTCTTTATATTTCTGGCCACCAGATGTCATCAAAGATGACTGTGTTGAAAAGCTTCGCGTAATGAGCAGTTTTTCAATGCAAGCTTCAATGCTTCAGAAAGCTTCATTTAGCCATCACAACTGTCAGGTTTGAACTTGAGTTTTGTGAGCTGGCCCCCAAGAAAGCTGAACTGTGATCTGAGAAGCTGTGCTTTCTGTTCCCCATCTAACTCATTCAGAGACTATTTCTAATGTTGCAATCTCTGTGTATCTCCTGCTCATTCTGAGACGGCTTGATATGCTGCCTAGTCAACTCTCCCTGAGACTGAGAATTGTGTCCCTGTGCTTTCAAAAACTGCTGTGTTCCAAAGCTTTCTAAACCTGAAACTGTGTATTTTGAGACTGTTTGCTGTGCTGCTAACTAAATTCTCTCAGAGACTGAGACTCTGCCCGCAGCCTACCCAGAGATAAGTTTGTGACCTTGTGGTCTCCTCTCTGCTTCAGCCAGAGGTCCCTGCACCGACGCCCCGTCCTGATCCGGCCAAGGGGCAAGGGGGCCTCCAGACCTGTCTCCCTAGGGCAGTGGTTCCCAAACTTTTTTTGCTTGGCCCCCCTTTGTTTTAAATTTCATTATAAGAAGCGTTTGTGAACTAAAATTCAATAATGTGGGATACTGTTTTTCCATGATTTGGACAGCCCAGCGCGTGCTGTCGGGAATACCTACCTTCGCACCACCATTGTGCAGGTGAAGCCAAAGGCAAGATAAGGGTCGTCATATTTTCTAGTCTTTGGCTTGGAAGGAAGTTGGTTTGGAAGCATATTTGGCATATTTGGAAACAGAGATATACAGTTACAATTGTGTCATTAACTGCATTGCTAAGTTTCTTCAGTTATCTGCATGAACATAAGAAATAATCAAAAATGCTTTTTCCTTCATGCACACTTGCACGCTACAGTGTGTCATGAGCTGAAATCAGACACCACAGCACCCCTACCAAATGCAAGGAGAAAAAAAGAAAAGAGTGTGTTTTTGTGCCGGGAGTCTGCAGCTCCCATGCAGCTCTGTTTTTTAGCTCTCTCTTTTTTTCTTTTTTCTTTTTTCTTTTCTTTTCTTTCTTTCTTTTTGCCGTTTGCCACAACATGAAGACTTTTGTTGAATAGTTTATTAAATCCTACAAAAATCCTTTACATTTTGAGTGACAATGATCACTAACACGTGTAAAAGACATATATTATCATATTATATATAATATAAAAGAATAAATATTAATCTTGTTTGGGTTTGTTTGTTTTTTTACATGAAATCTGCATGAATGGATTCAAAGATTAAATCTATGGCTCTCTCTTTCAGTTCTTCCTTCCATGCGCTTACGTTTTCAATCAGAAGGCTATTCTCTAACTCTTTTCCCCTTGTTGACAGAATTTTATTACATATATGCAGAATTCCGTTAAATTCCCTCTTCAGCCATTTATTGCGCCTCCAAGTGAAGCCTGTCTGCGTGTCAGTAGTCACGCAGGCAAAAACCCCAATCTTAGACCGGTTCGTGTTGTAATCTCGCGTTATGTAGCGAGACTTCGGGTGTACCAGGCTCAGCAGACAAATGTCTTGCTCTTTTTAATGGGCGGTAAGTTGCCGGGTGCCTAGATATTGAAATAAAAACTAAAAAGGGACTTCAGAATGGAACCGTATGATTTGTAATAGGAGGAAGTCGAACATACGCTGCTGTGGAGACATTTTAATAGACGCTTAGAGAGCAGACAGCAGAATTCTCATCATATCGACGCGTCTCGTTTCGCCGGCATCTTTCACTCGCTAACGTTGAAAATAGCTAGCTGAGCTGAAGGACTCAAGTGGAATTTGTGCTTGTGTGTGAGCTTCACGGTTGTGTTAGTGGTGAAAAGTGTGCGTTGTACGCCAAGTGAAAGCCGTCGACTTTAATAGAGGCACGTGGTGACGTAGTAGTCAGGACTCGCGATATAAAGGCGATTCAGCCTTAGGTTAGTACAGGGTCAAGCTGTTCGGGAGAGGCGGACACATGATGCACCAGCAAGGCTCGTTGATGCCCTCTTTGCTCAGTGGTGTATTCTGCCAGTGTCGGTCGACAGACACACATCCAGGGGCCGACCCTGGTGGTGGAGGCAGGGTTCCCCCCTCCGTCCCTCCCTCGGATGCATCACCATCTAAACCAGTAACCCAACAGTCAGCCTCCGGCGTGTGGCACACCGACGAAGGAGAGCATCCATGTGACATATGTGGGGGTTCGGAGCAGGAGCACAGACTCAAAGTGCTCTTCCAGGTCCTGGATGTGAACGGGGATGGAGGCATCTGTGTGAACGACTTGACAATTGGGCTGAAGAAGTTAGGAGTACATCGCACTGAACATGAGCTCATGGTAAGTGGACACAGCTCGGATGCTCCGTTGCATGATATATAGTGTCTTCACTTCCCTTTTTGTGTGTAATAACAGAATTTCAAAGCATTTCCCACGGAAAGACACCACATTCATTGTAAAATTTTCATTTAAGAAGAGTGAACATGAATGCAGGGTGAGACAATGAAATGGAACTGGTGCTCAGAGTTATTTAAATAGGAGAGTAGGTAAGGGAGTCAGATGA